GCTACTAATTCATTTACGCGGGAAACCCGAATCCATTGTACTGGTGGACAACAGGGTTTTGCCGGTGGCTTCTGCTGAGCGCACTGCACACACCTCTTCAACAAATTAGCGACATCCTCGGCCATGCCAGACCAGAAGAAGTCCAACTTGAGTGTGGCCAGCATCTTATGCATACCTAGGCACAACAGGTGCTCGTGCACCGTCCAAATGACCTTGCCCCACAGGGCTTTGTGGGCACCACGATGTTGTATCGGCACAACCCTCCATCCCAATGCATGAGCAATACGCCCTTAAGAATGACAGAGGTGATACCCCGTCTATTTTCGCCCCCCGCTGGGTCTCTGACACGGCGTCGCAATTTAAGCAGGGAAGCGTCCTCCACCTGGAGGCGCCCCCACTTTGCATGGTCCAGCCCAATGACAGCATTACACGCCGCCTGGCCCTCAGCCAACTCAGATGTTACCACGTTGGCCGACACCATGAGGGGAGGGGACGATGGTCCAGTGACCGGCTTACAGCGCTCTGAGCCCGAAAAGCAGGCTCACCCGCCGCTCATTGGTAAGCGTGACAGGGCGTCAGCATTCGTGTGACAGGACCCCTTGCAATAGGTGACCTTAAAGGAGTAATCCTGGTGGACCTCCAACCAGCGTGAAAGTTGGCCAGATGGCTGGTCAACACGCAACGCGTATTGCAGCGCTATGTGGTCTGAGGGCACTTGAAAGTGCCTACCATACAAATAGAGATGATACTGTAGCACAAAAAAACACAATGGCTAACAGTTCCCGGCACGTTATGTAATATTGTTGTTCGGCCAGAGAGAGCACCTTGCTGCCGTATGCGACAACGCTCTCGACACCATGGACAACTTGGGCCAAAACAGCTCCAATTCCGGTGTTATTAGCATCCGTATCAAGGACGAATGGCAAAAAAAAAATTGGGGTGGCAGAGGGGAGGGGCATTCACCAAGCCATCCTAGAGTGCAACAAATGCGGCCTCCTCCTCCCCCCAGTGGAATTTATGACCCTGAGCTGTCAAGGCTTGGAAAGGTTTAGCGATGGTAGTAAACCCGGGGACAAAACGGCGGTAATAGGGACGCGAATCCTATGAAACTGCGTACCTCCCCCACAAATGTGGGGGTCGGCCAAGTTCTAACACAAGCGTTTTTTTCCGGGTGAGTTGCAATAAATTATCCGATTAGCTCACTATGTGGCCAAGATACCGAACCGATTTTTGGAGGAAGTGACATTTCTGTGGTTTAAATTTCAGGTTGGCAGCACGCATTTTGAGAAAAACAGCACGTAGCCATTCCAGAAATCCGTCAAACATGCGGATAAAAACGATGATATCATCGAGGTATATCAAGAGTCCCACTGGAGACCGGCTAGGACCAGTTCCATTAATCACTGGAACATAGGTGGCACGGAATGAAGACCCATCAGAAGCCGATTGAATTCAAACAAGCCTTGTGGTGTACGAAAGGCTGTCTTGGGCTTGCAGGCATCGTCTAGTGGCAACTGCCAGAACCCGGATAGGAGATCAAGACCAGAAAAAAACTGCGCCCCGGCCAGGGCATCCAGTGAGTAATCCACTCGAGGTAAAGGACATGCATCAGCGACAGTGACCTTATACAGGTAGGAACAACAGTTCCACACTGCCCACCAGGGATTATTTGTCTGTCTGTCTGTCGTGCATGGCCCCGTCCCACTAGAGCCCTCCCATTGGCTCGGGGGCGCCGACCAATGGGAGCGGGGGGGTTAGTGGTGCGGGGAGGGGGCACCGCGCGACTCGGGCCAATGAGGAAATGGGCGATGTTTCATTCACAAAATGGAACTGCGGGAGGGTGGGTCCATTCATAAAATGGAACCCTTGAAGAGAAAAAAGCAGATTTTTTGCCTCGTGTTTCTTTCAACATGCCCAGCCTTAAGGTGATTCAGTTGGGGGTGAGAAGGGTGGCGCTGGGTGGGGAGGGGAGGGTGGGGAGGGGCTAGGTGGGGATGTTGGGGAGGGGCTGGGTGGGGAGGGTGGGGAGGGGTTGGGTGGGGAGAGTGGGGCTGGGTGGGGGGTGGGAGGGGTGGGGCTGGGTGGGGAGGGGCTAGTCACCCGTGGTTCCCTTATAAAACTCAACATTATACCTACACACTACACTATACACGACACGATACACTACACTTATACCGGTAGGAACAACAGGTTCCACACTGCCCACCAGGGATTATTTGTCTTTCTGTCGTGCACGAATGCGCTGTCCAACCAAGTTCCTACCTGCCCACTCCGAAAGAACGTGTTTTAGCTGGCAGAAATCCACACAAAAAGCAAGCTACCATCGTGTTTTTTAACGAGTACAATCGGTGCTCCCCATGGGTTGGTGGACTGCGAAATAATGTCTGCGACTATAATTTCGTCAACCGCCAGCCGAACGTGGTCCTTTCCCACAGGGCTCAGCTGGTTGGGATTCTGCCGGATGGGGGCGGCGCCGCCCATATCAATGTGATGACTCAAGAACGTAGTGCATCCAATGTCAAATTTCCTTTTACTTAAAACATCTGAAAATCCACGCAAAAGCGCTCACAGCTTTCCCCTCTGGACCTCAAACAAATCTGCTTTTTCAGCAAAAAGCTTCTCCATCTACCCCTCATCAGGTTTCTTGCGCGGTCGCGTATTTGAAGCGGCACTCACATTCCCCACAATGCTTCCCTCAGGAAGCGCTGACGATGCATGAGCTAACACGGTACCCTGCATTAAGGACCTGGATGAAAGGCTCCTGGTCGTTGGACACCAACGTCTGCGCCCCCAGCAACGCAAAACCACGACTGACTTTATTAGCAGGATCCAAGAGAATTCCTCCCACTGTTGCTCCTTGATCAAGCAGCTTTCGCAACCATAAGGGAACCAACATTTGCACGCTGCGGGGAATCCTCACCATCCGACACGCAATCACTTGCACAATAGCATTAGCCAAGTATATGCAGGTGGTAGCTATCTGAACTGTTAAAGTTATTTTGATTTCTGTCAATTTCGATAGATTCTCTAATTAGTCTTGGCCAGTAGTGGCTAGTTTTGCACAAAACTTCAACATTATCAAACTCAATTGAGTGTCCTTGTTGGCACGCGTGTTCTGCTACTGCTGACAGTTGTATTTGGGATAATTTAATGTTTCTCTGATGTTCTTTTAGTCTCGTGCTGATCGTTCCTCCTGTTTGCCCAATATAGCATTTACCGCACGTGCAGTTAATCCTGTACACACCTTCTGCATGGAAGCGAATCATCAAATAATAAATTATTTAAATGTATGCCTAAAAAGGGCAGCAACTTCAATTGGGATTACCGTTGGAAGGGCTATTTTAATAAACAAAATAGACAGGAAGGATAAGTTCAAAGGGCACGCATAATGTACTATGCCTCAGTAATCCCCCCCCCCCACATTGTGCAAGAGCGCAGCTGTGTGTTCAACACATCTATGCCTCTATATAAGGAACATAACAGTAAGACTTCTCCACAAATCTGGCAGTAGCCTGATGAAGCTAGTTGTAATTACAGCGAAAAGACGTGCTCAGATTGTAAATGTTGTGGCTTGGCTCTCCAACACACCGGTGTGCTGTAATAGTGGCGAATTGACATTATTTACGTGACAACTCTTACTAGCTGGCTGTGTCGGGTGGTGGCGGGTTTTAACGACACCCAAAACCTCTTATGGATGATATTGGTCACGAAAGCCGACGGGTTAAACTGACATTATTTTGTTCGTGGATAATTTACATAATTCGTATTGTATATCTTGAGGATTATCATTTGGTTCAGTACTTCAATACAAAACTTCCAGAATTCGTTATCAAGTTCATTTGCCTAACCCAGATCTCATGACACTCATGTAGAAATAGGTGGGTGTTAGCAAAACATGCAACTAGTCGTATTAAAAACCTCTTGGGCGACGTCAACATTCTATCAAGTTAACGTTTAATCCAATGATGTTGACAATATTCCTCCAGATATACTTTTTGTGTTGGGGCGAGGCAGGGGGGGAGTGCTCCTTTGGCCTTTGTTGTTTCTAGGGAGGAGTTCACAGCCCTCCATTACTGCGTTTCTTTTGTACTAACTAAATCCAGGACAATGGAATAAAAAATAACTATTATGTAAAAAATTGGCAATATCACTCTTAATATTATTCTTTGGAAAAGACATATTCAACAGTGCTCATAGACTGCGCTACAATACCACACTATTCATGGCAATAATATTACCCCTCCGAAGGCTCTCACCACCTTCAGAACCTCCTTGGCCCTTTTAGAACAAAATAATACTCATTAAGAAAAAGACATGAAATAAAATTCATTGTAGAATTGGGATAAACCTGGCCTCAAATGTCCGCAACCAGATCCGGAAGGCTAACATTTAAACCATATTAGTCAGCCTTAGACAGGTCCAAACCTGACATTCTACTCTGCTCCAATCACAAAATAGTGCTCTGTTGTAGGGCAGGTGTGAAAGTGCTGCCCCCTACTGTGTAAAAGAGGGATCGCTTGAAGGGACATCGGAAGAATGTCGGTAGTATCCGGTTCCGTGTGCTACTTTTTGACACAAAGAATTGCACTGGACTGCGAAGTCCTAATTAGATGCTTAGTGTTGTGACATGGTGTCGATGACAAACAATCACAATACATTTGATGGAAAGGACAGTATTGTTCGTAATAAATGGTTTATTTTTGGTTAGATCACGGAATTATGTGTTATTAACCTGCCACCACCAGACACAGCCAATTCGTAAAGTTTGGTACGTAAACAAAACGTGCCATTATCCAGCATCAGAGCGATTTTGCAAGAATTGTTCTGGTAAACCTTACTTAGTGGATGTGTCAGGTGTTGGCTGGTTAACGACAGATTTATGCTTATGCAATCTAACCCAAACCACCTTTATATTAATAAGACAGTATTGGTTTGTATATCGCTGATGTTGAAATGGTGCATGGTAAATAAAAACCGTGCGATGTTTTTTGTTGCCCTAGATCGCAAGAGTTGCAAATGGTTGTCAGATATCAGGTAAGCCCTTCAACCATTACTCTGTAAAACATAGCCTCATCATTTCCTGTGCTCACGGTCAACAAAAAAAAATGTTGGTACAAACGCAAACGTAGAGAAGGAGGATCCTACAGATATAGAAAGAAAGAGAGACACACTCAGACAAGATGCAAGCAAAAGAGATAGGTCACACACCGAGACAAGATGTGAGCCAAATAGATATAATACACACACACAGACAAGATGCAAGGCAAACAGATAGGACGCACACACGCACACACACGGACAACCAATTAAATGAGCTAAACAGATAGGACACACACAGAGCAGTAGTGTAACCACAAAATAAAAACTTTTTTTAATTTTACCAGATAAGGCCCATTGAGCTATATACTATAGCTCTTTTTTCAGAAGTGTCCTGGATATCACAAATTATATCTCAACGAAGCAGCTTTTCATCACGCGGATCTGTATAGCAGCAACCAAATACTTTCAACGCATGATGTTGATTCTAAATGTGGAGGGAAAACCCGGAAAACCCGATTGAAAAATCCACGCTACTATGGGGAGAGAAGACAAGCAAACTCCAAATATACAGGCTTTGGGGTCGGTATGGAACCCACTACCTACTGAAAACCAGGCACGGTAGTTAACATCTACTATCGTCGGGGCAGGGGGCGCTTTGGCCCCGATTGTTGACCAACGCTACGAGTTGGGGCCCCTTGACAACCACGATGACATTTGTTTAAAACAACAGTGTAAAATGCGGTTAAAATGTATTTTAATAAAAAAAAATCACATAGAACTCCGTTACAGGGATATTTATTTAATAAGATACGTGTCAACTGTACTACAATAGGCATTACGGAGATGTAGTGGCACCATTTTACAAAAACGGAGGGCGCCTAGAGGATTGGTACATTATTAACCAGGTATAGTCTTAACTGACTGTAATGTTTCCATCCACCTGCCTATGTCAGCTGTTATTTCGACCCTCTGTGTCTCTCGCTCTATGCCTCTCTCTTAGATCTCTCATGCTCACATGTCCATTGCATTGCACTCTCATGCTCACATGTATTTTGGATTGCACTCATACTCACAGGCCCTTTGGATTACACCCGTTGGGTTTGTAATGCGAGCAAGTATTGAGGGGGGACAGAGTCTGGGTCACGTGGGGAGTGGGCGGAGTTAGGGTCACGTGGGTGAGAGGATTTAGGGAGAGAACCGGAAGGGGAAAGGGGAGTTGAGACGGAGTGAAACACGAGGAGGCCACGCTGGGCAAGACAGGGAGAGTGGCGCGGTCGCCACGCGGTGGGAGACGTCGACACCGTCGGCCAACGGTGTCAGACGGAGAGAGAGCTAACGGGGCTGTGAGAGGCTAGCTGTGTAAGGGCAGCAGTGACGCTAGATAGCGGAGCAGCGGTGTGGCTGTAAGGATTGCCTAACGGAGCAGCAGGGAGACTGCATATTGGAGGAGCAGGGAGACTGCATATCGGAGCAGCCGAGGCTGTGGAGAGGTCGTCGAGCGGGACGCGGGCCTGAGCGAGACGCCGTGGTATCGAGATTCTACGAACCCAATAAAGGACAACGGAGATCGACATCTGAGAGAGAGTCCTTTATTACAAGTTGAACTCCCTCGTCCAGGAAGCCGCTCTCCTTCTTTTCTAAAGAGACATGCTAATTTCTCACATTAACATCATGCTAATCTCTCACATTAACATAGTCACTTCCATGCCCTCGGCGAGAAGGCCGCCTTCCTTCTTTTCTACAGTTACATGCTGATTTCTCACATTAACATCACTAGCCCCGGCCACTTCTTTATGACCCTTGGGCTACACCCATTTCAAACCTTCTAAAACAGTGTGCCTCAGCAGCAGACCATGCTTTCCCACCTGATGACGGATGCTTGTGTTGCGCCCGAAATGTCGTGATATTTTATGTTATTTTTTACCTACGTTACTTTACCGAAAGAACCAAAGAGTACGCCCCTATGATGTTAAATGTTCGAGACCATGAGCTTGATGACGATGTGGTTTGGGCAAATGTAGCCACAATGTATTATAGCCTGGGTGGCATGGTGCGAAGACACAAATCGCAATATTGGGGCCCCACCTGACCGATTGCCACACCCCCACAGCTGATGATGTCACGCTACTACGCCACTGATAACACTGTGTAATATTTTTTTTGTTCCTGGGTAAGTGTTATTTTTAATTGCTTATTTCTCAAAAGTACAGAAAATGGCTATTATTGCCCACAAACTTTGCTTTTGTGACCAGTACAGTCATATTTTGAAATGCATCTATTTTCAAGGAGAATACAGGCAAATTTGTGTCTTTCAGTTCAAATAAAGCCAGAAAAACAACATATGAATCAAAATATACATCTTCTTGGTTCTTTCGGTAAAGTCACGTAGAAGGGAAGTAATAAAATAATAAAAATAAAACATAATAAAATAATTCTCACGACGTTTCGGCTACAACGCAAGCAGCCGTCTTCAGGTGAGGAATGAGACACTACCAAGCTAGGAGCATATATATACGCTGGGTTGGAGGTGCAAGAAGAGCGCCTTAACAAAAAGAATGTGCATATGAAGAGGTATTTAGCATATTCATGGGAAATGCGTCGGAGGTGGGCAGGGGGGTTTCAAAGTCATATTATGCCCATGCATTATGCAGAATCAGCAGCACCAAGGGAGGGTGTACGGAGTAGCATTAACAAAGGAAAGGAATGTTAATAGTATGTAGCTGCAGTTACTAAACAACCACGTAGAAAACTAAAGTATAAACTTCATAAAAAAACTAAAGTATAAACTGCATAGCACCATCAGTGTACTTACTATACTCTACAATAAGCTGAGTTACTCACAGCAAGTAATACATTACAATTCTACGTCGTAAAAATTATATAATATGCTTCCATCTAAACTTTATTCTCTTACATCACACGAGCATACACCTTACTATATACTGCCATAGATAAATCCAACATTAAATTATATACTGTATTGCTATAAACCACCCTTATACATTTTAATATAACACTATGTATTTTTCTACCCACCTTAATGTGTATCACACTGCTATATGCTTACTATACAATTACGATACTATATATTACTTTGTACATTGTATTAAGCATATAAATGTTATACTATTTGTTATTATACACTGTACAATTGACCGTCGTGTCAATGGGTGAGTCGTGGGGGGAAACTTGCAGCGGAGCAAAGAATCCATTCCCTGCGGAGAATACAATGCCAGTGAGTGGAAACGCGGTCTGAAAGTCACCGTAAACGTGAACACAATCAGTTAAGATCCGAAATGGTTTTTTACGTCCTTCCAATGATTGCTAAGGCAGAATCCATCTTCTCGGTTAAAATTGTCTCTGTGTTTGTATATGTGGATCGCCTCATGAACGAATCTCTCATGATAGCCAGATGGCTTGCAGAGAACCTCTGTCTTAGAGAAGTCAATGTCATGTGAGCCCACTGAGTTGTAACAGTGATCTGCCACGGCTGAGGAGTTAGTCCTACCGTGTTTCAGGTCTGCTTTATGTTCACGGATGCGGTCCGAGACATGTCGTTTGGTTTCCCCAATGTAACTGCTACCACAGAGGCAACTTAGTTTGTAGACGCCAGGGTACTGTATGTATGGAACCACATCTTTTACAGACGGTACCAGATCACGGATTTTGTGTACTGTGTTGAATCGGACCTGGATCTTGTGTTTAATCAGGATTTTGGAGATCTTTTTTGTGACCCCAGCAATGTAGGGTAAGGTGATGGTCTTGAAAGGCTCCTCAACAGGATCCTTCTTGATGGTTGGAGTGATGGCTTTGCGGATTGTGTAGTCGGAGTAACCATTAGCCTTAAGAGCTTGGCGTACGTGTTTGAGTTCACTGGAAATGTGTTCCTGGTCGGAGATGCATTGGGCTCTATGATATAGAGTCTTGATGAGAGAATTCTTCTGGGATGGATGGTGGTGGGAATCCGGTTTTAGGTAAGCATCCGTATGGGTGGCTTTCCTGTAGACAGAGTGGCTCATTGAACCATCAGGTCTCCTTTTGATTAGGACATCCAAAAAGGGTAGCTTGACATCTTTTTCGACTTCCATGGTGAATCTGATGGCTGGGTGTATGGAATTGATGTGGTCGAGAAATTGGTCTAGAGCAGGCCGGCCATGTGGCCAGATGACAAAGTGTCATCTACGTACCTCTTCCATAAGGTCGGGCGTAGAGTGGCAGTCTGGATGGCGTCCGTCTCAAATTTCTCCATGAAGATGTTGGCTACAACCGGAGATAGGGGGGAGCCCATTGGGGTGCCCTCAGTTTGCTTGTAGAAAGTTCCATTCCAGGTGAAGTATGTATTGGTTAAGCAGTGTCTCACCAGGGGGGGTACCCCAGCATTCAGTCCTTGATGAACCAAGTCTTCAATGATTGCGATGGTGTCAGGTACAGGAACCTTGGTGAATAAGGAAACCACATCAAAACTGACAAGCAGGTCGTCTGGGGACAGGGCAATCCCCTTGATTGTCGATACCAGGTCAGTAGAGTTTAGTACCGCAGAGGTGGTTTTTCCAGTGAAAGGTTGTAGGATTTCAGACAAAAAACGAGCCAATTTATAGGTGGGGGAGTTGATAGTAGAGACAATGGGACGAAGAGGTGTATCTTCTTTATGTATCTTTGGCAAGCCGTATAATCTTGGTGGCCTGGCTGCAGAAGGTTTCAACAAGAACTGTTTGGTCTGATCAATTAATGCGGTTGAATCAGAAATTATTTTGTTGGTTTTAGTGACGAGGCTGTTGGTGGGGTCTCTTTTTATTTTTGTATAGCTGCCATCGTTGAGTAGTTCTTGAATGTTGTTGTTGTATTCTATTTTGACCATGATGACAGTGGCATTGCCTTTGTCGGCTGAGAGGATGACAATGTCATCCCTCTTTTTTAATTGAGCTAATTCAAAACGCTCATCTTTGCTGATGTTGCTAGCTGGCATCTTAGCGTTTTTGAGGGTTGCAGAGATTTCAGATCTTGCTACGTCTGCAGCGATGTGACTCAAGCCCTTGAGAGCTACATCTACTCGAGCAATTATATCATTAACTGGTATGTGTCTAGGTGTGACTGCAAAGTTTAATCCTTTAGCTAAAACGGATTTCAGACCTTCAGAAATAGAACTGTTACTGCGATTAATTACGACTTTGTTAACATCTAGCTTTTCAATGTGTGGGTCCGGTTTCTTGTTTGAGAGGCGGTTGAATTTGGAAATCAAGTTTTCCTTACATTTAGTCGACATAGCGGCAGCTGAAGAGGCAGTCAAAAAGATCTCCAAAATCCTGATTAAACACAAGATCCAGGTCCGATTCAACACAGTACACAAAATTCGTGATCTGGTACCGTCTGTAAAAGATGTGGTTCCAGACATACAGTACCCTGGCGTCTACAAACTAAGTTTCCTCTGTGGTAGCAGTTACATTGGGGAAACCAAACGACATGTCTCGGACCGCATCCGTGAACATAAAACAGACCTGAAACACGGTAGGACTAACTCCTCAGCCGTGGTAGATCACTGTTACAACTCAGTGGGCTCACATGACATTGACTTCTCCAAGACAGAGGTTCTCTGCAAGCCATCTGGCTATCATGAGAGATTCGTTCATGAGGCGATCCACATATGCAAACACAGAGACAATTTTAACCTAGAAGATGGATTCTGGCTTAGCAATCATTGGAAGGACGTAATAAACCATTTCGGATCTTAATTGTTTGTGTTCACGTTTACGGTGACTTTCAGACCGCGTTTCCACTCACTGGCATTGTATTCTCCGCAGGGAATGGATTCTTTGCTCCGCTCCAAGTTTCCCCCCACGACTCACCCATTGACACGACGGTCAATTGTACAGTGTATAATAACAAATAGTATAACATTTATATGCTTAATACAATGTACAAAGTAATATATAGTATCGTAATTGTATAGTAAGCATATAGCAGTGTGATACACATTAAGGTGGGTAGAATAATACATAGTGTTATATTAAAATGTATAAGGGTGGTTTATAGCAATACAGTATATAATTTAATATTGGATTTATCTATTGCAGTATATAGTAAGGTGTATGCTCGTGTGATGTAAGAGAATAAAGTTTAGATGGAAGCATATTATATAATTTTTACGACGTAGAATTGTAATGTATTACTTGCTGTGAGTAACTCAGCTTATTGTAGAGTATAGTAAGTACACTGATGGTGCTATGCAGTTTATACTTTAGTTTTTTATTAAGTTTATACTTTCGTTTTCTACGTGGTTGTTTAGTAACTGCAGCTACATACTATTAACATTCCTTTCCTTTGTTAATGCTACTCCGTACACCCTCCCTTGGTGCTGCTGATCCTGCATAATGCATGGGCATAATATGACTTTGAAACCCCCCGCCCACCTCCTACGCATTTCCCATGAATATGCTAAATTCCTCTTCATATGCACATTCTTTTTGTTAAGGCGCTCTTCTTGCACCTCCAACCCAGCGTATATATAAGCTCCTAGCTTGGTAGTGTCTCATTCTTCACCTGAAGACGGCTGCTTGCGTTGTAGCCGAAACGTCGTGAGAATTATTTTATTTTTATTATTTTATTACTTCCCTTCTACGTGACTTTACCGAAAGAACCAAGAAGATGAATCCCTGCAGTCACGAAAGCTTTAAATCAAAATATACATGTATTTATACTAAAGTAATACAAAAATGACTACAAAAGATTGAGACACCAAGGCGCACTACCACAGCTGGGACTCGCCACAGCAGACCGAGTTCTCTGTGGAGAGGAACAACGTCAAGTGGGAGCCACTGGTGGACCCCTGGAAGGTGCTGATGCCACCACTGCACATCAAATTGGGCCTTATGAAACAATTTGTCAGAGCTGTAGATAAGGAGTCGGCAGCCTTCAAGTACCTTCAAGACTTCTTCCCGAAGCTGTCTGAGGCAAAGGTCAAAGCCGGTGTCTTCATCGGACCACAGATAAAAAATATCCTGGAGTGCAATGAATTCCCCAAAAAGCTCACTAGTAAGGAGAAAGTGGATTGGAATAGCTTTGTCGCAGTGGTTCTTGGCTTCCCTGGCAATCAAAATGTCAAAAACTATGTGGAGCTGGTTGAGAATCTGGTGAAGGGCTACGGCACAATGGGCTGTAGGATGTCCCTCATAGTCAATATCCTTGATGCTCATCTTGAAAAATTCAAGGAGAATGCAGCAAATCTGGCTGTGACGGTCCCACCTGATGATGGAGACTTGTGTTGCCTCCGAAACGTCGTGATTTTTATTGTTTTATTTTTATTAATTTCATTTTTTACCTACGTGACTTTACCAAAAGAACTAAGAGTATGAATCCTTGCAGTCACGAAAGCTTCAAATCTAGAATTGATTTACAATATATTCGTAAATCTCGAAAAACTACTCACTTCGAAATCTTTTGTAGTCATTTCTGTATTACTTTAGCATAAATACATGTAAATTTGTATTCATATGTTGATTCACAAAAACAAAGTTTGTTGGGAATAATAGCTATTTTCTATACTTTTGAGGCATAAGCAATTAAGAACTAACACTTACTACCCAGGAACAAAGAATGTGTTAAATAGTATAATGTAGTAGCTATGCCACTGATAATGTAGCTGCAACACCACTGATAATGCACCTACTGCGCTGCTGATAATGAAGTTACTACAGCACTGATAAAATAGCTACTACGCCACTGATAATATAGTTACTACATTATTCGAGACGGCGTGAGCGTAATGACGATGTGGTTAGGGCAATAGGAGCCACGATATAGAATAGCCTCAATGTTCCACCCTGCTAAGAGACAAATCACAATATTGGGGGCCCCACCTTACCCATTTCTGTACCCCCTGAGCTAATGATGTAGCTACTATGCCACTGACACAGAGACAAGGAGAGAGGCAAGGAGATGTTCACATAGTCGCAGAGACAAAGATTCCCTGTATAGGCTTAACAAACTATTGGGGCAAGTGCTGTTAGGGACTAGCAGAGCCTATTCATACTCTTTGCTTCTTTTGGTAAAGTCATGTAGGTGAAAATAAAATAAAATACAAATAATTTAATTAAATCACGACGTTTCAGGTGCAACACAAGCGTCCGTCCTCAGGTGGGGACAATCACAGCGAAAAAACAATTGCTGAAGTATGCCTAAGAGATGGCTGTGACGAGGGATTATATAGCTGGGGGGGGGGGAGGAGCCAGGGTGAGTGTGGGGGCGGGGCGTGGGTTGGGGGAGAGCGGCAAGGATGGTCCTAGAGTTCAAACTAAAGCTGTGAACCGTTGGGGGGGGGGGGGGGGGGGGGTTGGGGGTAGTGAGCTCTGCTAGCTCGAAACACTGCTGGACAAATTATTCCGCCGTGGCTGATCACTGCTACAACGCGGTGGGCTCTCATGATATTGTCTTCTCCGATACCAAAGTGCTCTGCAAGCCGTCTGGATACCACCAGAGATTTGTCCATTAAGCCATCCAGATATACAAACATAGACATAACTTCAACCGAGAAGATGGATTCAAATTGAGCAATCATTGGAAGGATGTTATTAACCAAGTTAAACTTTAGCTGCCTTATGGTTTATATTCATATCCGCATCTCCAGTCTTTTACTCCCAGCCCTGCTCACTACCATCAATTGGAAATTCACAGCTTTAGTTTGAACTCTAGGACCATCCTTGCCGCTCTCCTCAAGCCCACGCCCCGCCCCCACACTCACCCTGGCTCCTCCCCACCCCCAACGGTTCACAGCTTTAGTTTGAACTCTAGGACCATCCTTGCCGCTCTCGCCCAGCCCATGCCCCGTTCCCCCACTCACCCTGGCACCTCCCCCCCCCTCAGCTATATAATCCCTCGTCATAGCCATCTCTTAGGCACATTTCAGCGATTGTTTTTTCGCTGTGGTTGTCCCCACCTGAGGACGGACACCTTGTGTTGCGCCCGAAACGTCGTGATTTAATTTAATTATTTTTATTTTATTTTCACCTACGTGACTTTACCGAAAGAACCAAAGAGTATGGATCCTTGCAGTCACAAAAACTTAAAATCTAGAAATAGCCTAATAAAGTTGGAATGGCACATGATGGAGTCGGTGGTGCGGCTATTGCTGTACCCAGCCGTCTTTGAGACTGGCCCAGGGAGACAGGCATAGGGACGAGACAGAAATACAGATGGAGAGGGACATTGAGAGAATGGATGAGAGATGAACACAGAGAGGGCAGACAAAGAGTGAATACAGCGAGAAAAGCAAAGCTAACAGACATGAGAATAATCAGGGGCAAAACAGGGAGACAGAAAAAAGCAGAAATAAAACACAGAAATAAGGAGACACAAATCCATAGAGATCCAGACACAGCAAAACAAACAAAACAAGCACCCAGCCCCACCCTCCCCACCCAGCCCCTCCCCACCCTCCCCACCCAGCCCCTCCCCACCCTCCCTTCTCCACCCAGCTCCACCTCTCCCACCCCCAACTGAATCACCTTAAAGCTGGGAATGTTGAGAGAAAAACGAGGCATAAAGATCCGCTTTTTTCTTTTCAAGGCTTCCATTTTATGAATGGAGCCACCGTCCCCCAGTTCCATTTTGTGAATGAAACATCGCCCGTCTCCTCATTGGCCCTAGTCGCGGCGGTGCCCCACCCCACCACTAACCCCCCCTCTACCAAACCCAAACCACCGCTCCCATTGGTCGGCGCCCATGATCGACATGGCATAGGTGAACTTGAACATCGGAGAACTGACGAAAGATTGTTATTTATTTTTGTTTTTACTGTGTTTATTAATATACGTGTGGATTAATTATAACTGAAGGAGTGCAGGTCAGTGACAGGAGTGAAACAACGATCACAGTCACGTGGACTGAGGTCAGCATGGACGCAACCAGCTACGTCTTAGAATTGAACGACCGGGTCACATTCTCAATCTCGTCCTTCACCGTCTATGGGAGTGCCTCCAACTTCACATTCACGGGACTGGTGCCAGGCAGAAACTACAGCATCAGCGTAACTGTCAACTGCACTGGCGAAAGCTACGTCTCTGGCACCTTGTACGACAGCACATGTGAGTGACCTGCTGTGAGATGGAAACACAATGGAGTATTTTTTTCATTACAATTTGTTTTTAAAACGTTTTGCTCTGGCTGACTTCCTGCCTGGCTGGTTAGCTGGCAGGGTTGGGGGGGAAAGATAAATGGTGCCGTACCAAGGACCACTCACCCTCTCCGTCACCACTCACGCTTACCACTCACCCTCACCACTCACCCTCACAACTCACCCGCACCACTCACCCTCAGCACTCACCCTCTCCACTCACCCTCACCACTCACCCTCACTACTCACTAATCACCCTCACCACTCACCCTCACTACTCACCCTCACTACTCACATTCACCATTCACCTTCACCACTGACCCTCACCACTCACCCTCACCACTCACCACTGATCCCCACCACTCACCCCTAACCACTCACCCTCACTACTCACCATCACCACAAACCCTCACCACTCACCATTACCACTCACCCTCACCATCAACCCTCACCACTCACCCTTACCACTCACCATCACCACTCACCCCTCACCACTCACCATCACCACTCACCCTCACCACTCACCCTCTCCATTCACCACTCACGCTCACCACTCACCACTCACCCTCACCATCACCCCTCACCATCACCACTCGCCCTCACCACTCACCCTTACCACTCACCATCACCACTCACCCCTCACCACTCACCATCACCACTCACCCTCACCACTCACCCTCTCCATTCACCACTCACGCTCACCACTCACCCTCCGCACTCACCCTCACCACTCACCCTCACCACTCACCCTCACTACTCACTAATCACCCTCACCACTCACCCTCACCACTCACCACTCATGCCCACCACTCACCCCTAACCACTCACCCTCACTACTCACCATCACCACTTACCCTCACCACTCACCATTCACCACTCACCCTAACCACTCACCCTCACCACTCACCATCACCACAAACCCTAACCACTCACCCTCACCACTAACCCTCACCACTCACCATTACCACTCACCCTCACCATCAACCCTCACCACTCACCCTTACCACTCTACCACTCACCATCACCACTCACCCCTCACCACTCACCATCACCACTCACCCTCACCACTCACCCTCTCCATTCACCACTCACGCTCACCACTCACCCTCACCACTCACCCTCACCATCACCCCTCACCATCACCACTCGCCGTCACCACTCACTCTTACCACTAACCACTCACCATCACCACTCACCCCTCACCACTCACCATCACCACTCACCCTCACCACTCACCCTCTCCATTCACCACTCACGCTCACCACTCACCCTCACCACTCACCCTCACCACTCACCCTCACCACTCACCCTCACCATCACCCCTCACCATCACCACTCACCCTCACCACTCACCCTTACCACTCACCACTCACCATCACCACTCACCCTCACCACTCACCATCACCACTCACCATTCACCACTCACGCTCACCACTCACCCGCACCACTCACCCTCACCACTCACCCTTACCACTCACCATCACCACTCACCCTCACCACTCAGGCTCACCACTCACCCTCACCACTCAATCTCACCACTCACCACTCACCCTCACCACCACCACTCACCCTCACCCCTCACCACTAACCCTCACCACTAACCCTCACCACTCACCCTCACCACTCACCCTGACCCCTCACCACTGACCACTCACCATCCCCACTTACCCTCACCACTCACCCATTCCTACTCATCACTCAACCTCACCACTAACCCTCACCCCTGACCACTCACCCTCCCCACTCACCACTCACCCTCACCACTCACCCTTCCTACTCACCACTCAACCTCACCACTCACCCTCACCACTCACCACTCACCGTCACAACCACCACTCACCCTCACCACTCACCCTCAAACCACTCAACCTCACCCTCACTACTCACCATTCATCCTGACCAATCACCACTGACCAATCACCACTCACCACTCTCCACTAACCCTCACCACTCAACCTCACCCCTCACCCTCACCACTTAACCTCAAAACTAACCACTCTCTCACCACTCACCCTTACCACTCACCCTCACCACTCAGCACTCACCCTCACCACTCACCCTCATCACTCACCCTCACCACTCACGCTCACCACTCACCCCTCACCGCTCACCACTCACCCATCACCACTCACAACCACCACTCACCCTCAACACTCACCCTCATCACTCACTCTCACAACAACCACTCACCGCTCACCACTCATCCTCACCAATCACACTCTCACCAATCACCACTCACCCTCACTGCTCACACTCACCGCTCACCACTCACCCTCACCACTCACCCTCACAACAACCAATCACCCTCACCGCTAACCACTCACCCTCACCACTCACCCTCACCACTCACCCTCACCAATCACCAATCACCACTCACCCTCACTGTTCACCCTCACGGCTCACCACTCACCCTCACCACTCACCCTCACCACTCACCACTCACGCTCACCCTCACCACTTACCCCTCACTAATCACCACTCACAACCGAGGGAGAGTGGTGAGGGTGAGTAGTGAGAGTGAGTAGTGAGGGTGAGTTGGGATGGTGAGTGGTGAGCGAGAGTGGTGAGGGTGAGTGGTGAGCGAGAGTGGTAAGTGGTGAGGGTGAATGGTGAGGGTGAGTTGTGAGGAAGAGTGTTGAGGAAGAGTGGTGAGTAGTGAGGATGATTGGTGAGGGTGAGTAGTGAGGGTCAGTGGTGAGCGTGAGTGGTGAGGGAGAGGGGTGAGTGGTGAGGGAGAGGGGTGAGCGTGAGTGGTGAGAGTGAGTGTGGAGTGTTGAGGGTGAGTGGTAAGGGTGAGTCGTGAGTAGCGAGGATGATTTGTGAGGGAGAGTGGAGACGGTGAGCGTGAGTGGTGAGGGAGAGGGGTGAGTGGTGAGGGTGAGTCGTGAGGGAGAGGGTGAGTGGTGAGTGGTGAGGGTGAGTGGTGAGGAAGATTGGTGATTAGTGAGGATGATTGGTGAGGGTGAGGGTGAGTGGTGAGGGTGAGTGGTGAGGGTCAGTGGTGAGCATGAGTGGTGAGGGTGAGTGGTGATTGGTGATGGTGAGTGGTGAGGGCGATTGGCGGTTGTGAGTGGTGATTAGTGAGGGGTGAGTGGTGAGGGTGAACGTGAGGGGTGAGTGGTGAGGGTGAGTGGTGAGCGGTGAGGGTGATTGGTGAGGGTGATTGGTGAGTGGTGAGGGTGAGTGCTGACGGAGAGGGGTGAGTGGTGATTGTTGAGGGTGAGTGATGAGCGTGAGTGGTGAGAGTGAGTGGTGAGGGTGAGTGGTGAGTAGTGAGGATGATTGGTGAGGGTGAGTGGTGAGCGTGAGTGGCGAGGGAGAGGGGTGAGTGGTTAGTGTGATTGGTAAGGGAGAGGGGTGAGTGGTTAGGGTGAATGGTGAGGGAGAAGGGTGAGTGGTGAGTGGTGAGGGGGAGTGGTGAAGGTGAGTGATGAGCGGTGAGGGTGATTGGTGAGGGTGAGTGGTGAGGGTGAGTGGTGAGGGAGAGGGTGAGTGGTGAGGGAGAGGGGTGAGTGATGAGGTGAGTGGTGAAGAAAAGGGGTGAGTGGTGAGTGGTGAGGGTGAATGGTGAGGGTGAGTGGTGAGCGTGAGTGGTGAGGTAGAGGGGTGAGGATGATTTGTGAGGGTGATTGGTGAGGGAGAGTGGTGGTGGTGAGGGTGAGTGTTGAGGATGATTGGTGAGGGTGATTTGTGAGGGAGCGTGGTGAGGGTGATTAGTGAGGGAGAGTGGTGAGGGTGAGTTGTGAGGGTGAGTGGTGAGGGTGAGTGGTGAGCGTGAGTGGTGAGGGAGAGGGGTGAGTGGTTAGGGTGAGTAGTGAGGGAGAAGGGTGAGTGGTGAGTGGTGAGGGTGAGTGGTGAGGGTGAGTGGTGAGGTTGAGTGGTGGTGTTGAGGGTGAGTGGTGAGGATGATTGGTGAGGGTGATTGGTGAGGGAGAGTGGTGAGGGTGATTAGTGAGGGAGAGTGGTGAGGGTGAGTTGTGAGGGTGAGTGGTGAGGGTGAGTGGTGAATAGTGAGGATGATTGGTGAGGGTGAGTGGTGAGGGTGAGTGGTGAGCGTGAGTGGTTAGGGAGAGGGGTGAGTGGTAAGGGAGAGGGGTGAGTGGTAAGGGTGAGTGGTGAGGGTGAGTGGTGAGCGTGAGTGGTGAGGGAGAGGGGTGAGTGGTGAGGAAGATTGGTGATTAGTGAGGATGATTGGTGAGGGTGAGTGGTGAGGGTGAGTGGTGAGGGTGAGTGGTGAGGGTCAGTGGTGAGCATGAGTGGTGAGGGTGAGTGGTGATTGGTGAGGGTGAGTGGTGAGGGCGATTGGCGGTTGTGAGTGGTGATTAGTGAGGGGTGAGTGGTGAGGGTGAACGTGAGGGGTGAGTGGTGAGGGTGAGTGGTGAGCGGTGAGGGTGATTGGTGAGGGTGATTGGTGAGTGGTGAGGGTGAGTGCTGACGGAGAGGGGTGAGTGGTGATTGGTGAGGGTGAGTGATGAGCGTGAGTGGTGAGAGTGAGTGGTGAGGGTGAGTGGTGAGTAGTGAGGATGATTGGTGAGTGGTGAGCGTGAGTGGTGAGGGAGAGGGGTGAGTGGTTAGGGTGAGTGGTGAGGGAGAAGGGTGAGTGGTGAGTGGTGAGGGGGAGTGGTGAGGGTGAGTGATGAGCGGTGAGGGTGAGTGGTGAGGGTGAGTGGTGAGGGAGAGGGTGAGTGGTGAGGGAGAGGGGTGAGTGATGAGGGTGAGTGGTGAAGAAAAGGGGTGAGTGGTGAGTGGTGAGGGTGAATGGTGAGGGTGAGTGGTGAGCGTGAGTGGTGAGGTAGAGGGGTGAGGATGATTTGTGAGGGTGATTGGTGAGGGAGAGTGGTGGTGGTGAGGGTGAGTGTTGAGGATGATTGGTGAGGGTGATTTGTGAGGGAGCGTGGTGAGGGTGATTAGTGAGGGAGAGTGGTGAGGGTGAGTTGTGAGGGTGAGTGGTGAGGGTGAGTGGTGAGCGTG